TCTCTCTCTCTCACACACACACACACACACACACACACACACACAATGTGCTAGAGAATAATGAAGTAATGATTCTTGTTCTCTGCCCTTGTAGTATGGCAAGAAGAAAATAAAATACATTGACTACGAGAAGCAGCACCTGTACTTCTACCTGGGTGAGTCTCCTGCAGCCACCTTTCTTGTAAGCACTAGTCAAGCTGGAGACATGATTAGAACTGTCTCACAGAAACCAAGCCATACCTGATTTGTTAGTGAGAAAATAAACAGATCTTATTTCAGACTCAGTGGTGGGAAAACATGAAATGATAATAGAAAAGTAAATAGGCATTTCTGAAAGATGTCTCATCATACTAGGAACTAGGCAAGAAATAAAAGACATACTTAAAGAGGGTCAGAAAGCAAAATACTAAACAGGGAGTCAACATCCTTGTCTTAGAAAAATTTAACAACACTGAAATAAAAGAATAATATCATTTTTGTAGAGAGAAAAAAGGTGGGAAAACAATACTGAAGAATTGGCAGTGAGATACCAGAAAAACAAAAGATCCAAGAACAAAGAACTACCAATAAGTTTTTACATAGAAAAAAGTCTGTAGATGCTGAGGTCAGCAAAAGCTGTAACATATGCACACAAACCAGACCAGATACTTAGATGATAGGTAAGTGGATAGATGATAGATAGATAGATAGATAGATAGATAGATAGATAGATAGATACTATAATGCCAAGCGTCAAGCAAAACCATGTAGTTTAACAATTCTTATACTAATACTATTATTATTAAATGAAATCAAACTCCTGGTGACTTATGACCAAGTTTTCAAGTAACTCAGAATTCCACCAATCTAAAACACATTTTCATATCTGGGCAACAAATCAACATAAGGAAAGGAAACAAATACCACTTGTATGCCACAGGTTGTCAATTGAGGATATTTTTCTCCCAGGGGACATTGAACAAGGTCTAGAGACATTTCTGATTCTCAATATGGAGGGAAAGGGGGATAATTTCAAAAATCCTATAATGCACAAGAATCATGATAAATAATTACCTAGCCATATAATTCAAAACTTTTGAGACTGAGAAGCCCTATAGCCTCCCGTCTGCCCATATAGGCAACAAGTGGTCACTTGTAACATGCATATTAAAGACAGCCACTGGATAAATTATTTGGCAAGTGGGGTTACCTATTCTGGCTCTCATTTTCACACTGGGATTCGGCCTCTCCACCTGGTACCCATCATTGCACCTTTTTTTTGTGCCACATTTCAAAAGGTAGCTGACACCAGCCAAAATGGACATACATGTAGTTTCACAAAACTGTTTATTCTATGAACTTTACTAAGTAATATATCTTTATAAGACATCTTTATAACAGTGAAGTATCTCCTTCGCTTATGAGGAATGAATATAGGGTATATACTCACTCCAGGAAGCCCATGACACAAATCCTCCAGTTGCTAGGTGCCCCTTCTCTTGGAATGCCAGCTGAGTCTCAGAAATACAAATAAGTCAAACTCAAATTGTCACAGAAAAACATAGCCACACATTTGTCAAAGATGACTAGGAAAATTTTATTCAGACTAATGCAAAAGGAGACAGAAACATCAGTACCGAGCTTAACGCTGCTGAAACACCTGGTGCAAGGGAAACTTTCCAAATACTGAAGAGATACATTGAAAACTATTGACCAGAAGGTAGAGAGAAGTGTGATAAAGTTAGACCACCTCTGTTTGCAGACTGGTGTTTATTGGTGCTAGGCTTTGGTCTCACTAGGAAAGAGGAGCCTTGTTCTGCATAATATTTTAAGAGGAAGTTCCCATGGTCTTTGAGTTATAGCAAATAAATCTGAAAGAAAAAGAGAAATAATTTGCAGTTGTGCATAGTCTAAGTAATCTTCTAAGAATGATGCCAGGTTCCTCTTGTCAGGTTCAATGGGACAAAGAACATTCTTTTAGCAGAATTTGGTTTTCCCAAGTGGGAACTTACAGGAGGCTGCATGTTCTGGTTTCAGCTGCTATGATGACTGTGTGTAAAGTTATTTGTGCTGACGATTGCAATCCCCATTAGTCAAGCCCAAGATCTAGTTGAGAAGAAAGCTCAAAGTTTGATCAAGGAGAAGTTATTTTTCCAAATCCAAAGGGTCTCCCAGAGATTGTCTTGTGCTCTTGGAAGCCTTACTAACATGATAAGAAAATCAGCTATACAGCTCTCTAGCCAGGAAATAAGTATACTGACCTCATTCCTACCATGCAAATGTATTGTGGCAGAACCAATCTCTGAGGACTTAAGGAGACCTAAAAGACTCCAGGACCTAAGAAAACCTTGAAAAGTCCCAACAAAAGATAGGGCAAAGTGTCTATCAAAATGACTCTTACTTTTAATATTTCACTAGCTACTTCAGTAAATTGGAACTGTTGGCCAAATTCTTTCCCCAGCCTCTGAAGTGTGAATGCCCAGTGGAGTCCACAATATGGTTCTGGATATCCACCTTGTATCCCTTATCAAGGCCAACACTCTGGGAGGGCACGCAGAATAAACACCCACCAGCTTGCACAGGACTTTACATTGCTCATTCATTTGTCCAATCTCTTTTGGATCGTTTTCAGTTGCACTTCCCCTCCTCATGCCTGTCTACTTTAATCTCCAATCCATGCAAGTGATGTATCTTCGAAAGTACTGGACGGTGAGTCACTCATCCCATTTTCTAAACCTAGACCAGATAGAGATTGAGTTGAAAGCACTGAGTGTTCTCCAGGTGTAGCTTACTCAAGTAACAGGTCATCAGATTGAGACTGTTCAAAGAACAGGATCTGAAACAGTGTTCAAGGCTTCTCACCAAAATGCTTATCTCTACAGGACATTGCTTGGGTTAGCAGCTTTTACATTCGATATTTCATCACATTTGGCCCTTTCTATGGAATTTTTGGAACATTGCTGCTCATATATTTGGTCAAGTAAGAATATTCTCTTATTTCTATAACATCTTTTACCAGAGCTATTTGTTGTTAGCAAAATATGATAACAATATGGTGGCCCACACCCATAAGAAGTTTGAAAGCTTCAAATGTTTCAAATGCTTGAACAACACAAGTTCCACATAAGAATTTGTCCAGGCTGAATTTCTCCTTCTTTCTAATTTTCCAAACTAAACTATGTCAGTTGTTCTCTAAGGCCATTATAGCTTAAGTGGTTTGACATCATAAACTGTTAAGAATTTAAGATCTCTTTAAAGTAAGCAAGCTTTAATTTAAATAAGAAAAAATTTAAGGTCTCTCACTAGAAATTTTTCCCCAAACCAAAATGGCTTCAAACCACTAATTTGCATAAATAGCCCTTTCTAAACTTTTGTTTCTTTTTCATTAGGTTGCATTGCTATAATAAACACCTACTAGTTGTAAGGATAATGAGAGCAACTGTGCATCAGACAATCAGTTAAGGGCTTGACAGTCATCATTTTATTTGATGTAATCTCCACATAGTCTTACGCTGTAGATAGCATCATCTTTCTTTCTGCTCAGGGAACTGAAGCTTGGAGAGATTAAATCACTTGCCTAAGGTAACAGAACAAGTAAGGGCCAAGGCTGGTGCCAAGCAGAACTTGAATCCAGCTCTATCTGATGACAAACCGTCAATTGCTTTACAAATGCACTTAGAGAACTCTGGTATTTTTTTTTTCTTGTACTGGGAATTGAACCAGGCTTCATGCATTTCAGGCTACCATTCAGCCCCTGATATATTTTATCCTTGCACCAAAGCTAGAATAGACTACTTGCAGGCAGTGCTCCTGTGAGTCAGGAAGTGGAACAAAGCTCGCTGTCAAATGCTTGTGTGTCAACACTAGTTTCAAATGGCATTCATAGAGGAAATGGACAGCCATTAGGATCTTGGAACCTCTTTCATTTCCTCCAGTGTTTGGCCAGTTCAGCCAAAGGTCACAGAAGCTCAGTGACTGCAACTAAAACACACTAAGAGAGTCACTACTGCCTCTTTTTATTCCTCCAAAGGTTTATTGAGAGCCCCTGGATTGCCTATGTTACCCAGATGAGCCACATACCAATGAAAATAAGCAGAGAAGAGAACCACGATTGGCTCAGCACTCAGGTGATGATGGCATTCCCAAGGGACAATCCTTCTAAGCAGACTGGCTCAGAATCTGCTTACTTCAAATAATAATAATAACTGCCCTTCTTAAAGCACACCCCTAAGGACAGGCACTGTGCAATAGTTTGCATATGACTCCACAAGGTAGACATAATGATTATTCTCACTTTACACCATGATAAAACTGACTTGTAAAAAGGGTTGGTAACTTGTATATGGGCACACAACTAACGAGTGATAGCAGCAGGTTTTTAAACTTAAAACAGTTTAATTATAGAGTCTTGCCTACAAAGTAAAAGTCAGTTAGCTATAATCCAGCAGCCAACTCTGACCCACTGATTGTGTATATAAAGTTTTACTGATGCATGTCCATGTTCGGTTATTTATGTATTATCCATGTCCACTTTCATGCTATAACAAAATTGTTGATGACAAAATTAAGAGATTTACTATTGAGATTATAAACCACTCCTTTATTTAATACAAAGTGATCAGTCCTGAAACTATATACACACAAACAATAAAAGTGGACTCAGTGGATTATATTCATATATTTGTGCAGTAGATTATATTTATATGTTTGTGCATATACATGGATGTATATATGTAACAATAGTAACCGAAGAAAAAATGCTATATTTTTGAGAATAGGGTGTGGCATGGGAGGAGTTAGGAGAGGATACTTGGAAAGGACTGTAGGGAGGAAAAGGGGAAAAATGACACATTTCTTTTTTATAAAAAATACATTTAAAATCTAAAGATTTTACTACCTAGGAATTTATAGAAAATGTGTGTTGACTTCCTATTCTAATCACTCATGAAACAAAGCCTTTCAAATGAATCTTAAAATTAAAAGATGTACAGCAGTTAAGGACCCTAAAAATCATTTCATTAGACGTATTTCAGAGAGAGAGCATAGCATGCTCTCCACAAACGCAGTTAATGCTTATCAAAGTTATGGCCCACTCTAAACCTTCCTGACTCTTAATTTATGGTCCTATCCACTGTTACAATAATGGAGAACTTAGTCATTATCTTGATTTTCCTCCAGGCTCACACTAAAAATTCAGAGAACCCCACCCCTTACAGTCGAAGAATGGATCTCAGGTGTATAGCCAGAGAACTACTTCTGTATCTTTTAGTTTTTACCCATCATTTCTTTAGTTATTAGTTATACTACATGCTATCCATATACTCATTGGATTTACATATCATTTTATGTAAAAGTTTCCAAGTACCATTGTCCTTTAATTTATGTGAATATTAATACTTTTTTGATGACATGCTGAAAGGTAGGGCTTTTTAAATATTGTTCATAATATATGTTATAAACATTCTCCTACTTGGCTCTTAACCCTGTAATTTTATTGTAGGGGGACTTTATAATATGTTATTATTCCATCTCATTCAGAAGCCCTCATGTCCTAACCATTCATTTTCCAACAATCCTGGGTAAAAAAGAAACAAACCTCATCTGCATTAACCAAACTCCTCACTCATGACCTCATAGGCTTCTGTGTCTAAGGAATAGTTGTGACATTTTCACTTTCAGTACTACATATCCCTTCATATCTGTTGCTTTTCATGTAATTTTAGCAAAATATCTTAGTATATTTTAAATGGTAAACTTCGTGAAGGCTGAGTCTTGTTGTATATCACTCATAGTTGTTTAAAAAATTAACAAATAACCATGTGTTCATAGATGATTATATAAAATAATTAGAATTTTAACACTTAGACTCACTTACAGCTAATGCAAGATTTTTCTTTGCAGATTGTGGCCACCTGTAATATTGAACAGTCCTTTTTCAATGACTGGTTCACTGGGCACTTGAACTTCCAAATTGAACACCAGTGAGTGATGCAAATTATCCATTATGGAATAAGGATACAACAGTACAACAGATCCTGCAATCATTCCATTAAGGGTCTCAGAAAATTAAAAAGTTTAACCAGGGTTCTCTAAAGACTGCCACCCATCAGTACCAGTGGTTGGGTTGGGAAGGAGAGAAGGTGAAATCTAACAGTTATGGAAAGTAAAGTGGAATTACAGAAATGGAGCAGTAACCTAATTTCCATATATTATGTATATTGAGAATTAATGATGTCTATAGTGCAAGGAGGAGGAAGGTATATGGATGTGTGAGTACATTTGGTTTGCTAATGAAACCTAAGAAAAATTATAGCACTTGAGTAACAAAGTTTTATTGAAATTTATAATGTAGCTATCATGTTAGGGTCGAAGTAATAAAATAATCCACAATGAAATACAGTCACTTCTGCAATTCCCAGGTGAATCCGAAGATAGTTTTCCAATTAATCAGTTAAGTGGGTATAAAATAAAGAAGTTGAAAGTAGTATTTGGATTGCTGATCTCCCCCAGAATAAACAGTAAGATACTGCTCATGGTTCCTTCTGTAAGGCTGCACCTAGGAGTCAGAGAAAGATGCTCTTAAACTCCTAATACTGTTTTCTCGTTTTTTGTTCTTTGTAGGTCTTTGAACACCCTAGCAAAAAGGAAAACCCCAATTCATGTATTATTAAAGAAAGTATTCGTGTCCTGAAAGATTACCTGGCTAATTAGGGCCAAACTTTGGATTAAAGCCATACCTTGCCTCAGTTTCCAATCTGAGAACTTCCTTTTAAATGTCACAACTAGACCTGAGTGAATACTTAGCTATTTAACCGATAGGTTTTAGATAGGAAGAACAAAAGAAAGACAAGGATGCTCCCCCAGGCAATTCACAATGCTAGCTAATCCATATTCTCATTTGATCTGACCAAAACTAAGCATATTAAATGGAGCTAATATTTGTTCTCTTAGCATTTCCCAAACATTTGCCATCCACATGGTTTACAGAGATGTTAAAAGATAAGAGTTTTTGGAGTAGGCAATATGGCTTGCTTGAAAGCTTGTACAAGTTCAGGGTTGGGTCTGCTTTGTTGGTAAGATTTTGTTTAGAAATAAATAAAACTACTTTGGGTTTCTCTTTAGGTGTAAGTTTCACATCTCCTGCTTGTTTTCTTAGCCTCTTCCCCACTATGCCACGCCATAATTATCACAAAGTGGCACCTCTGGTGAAGTCACTGTGTGCCAAACATGGATTGCAGTATATAAATAAGCCCATATTGAAGGCATTTGGAGATATTATCAGGTAATAACATACCTTATCTTTGCTCATAGCTCTCATTTCCCTTTCTCCCAAGCCCCCAAACTTTTCTGCAACTTTTGAATCTTTTTTTTCTCTCTCTCTCTCTCTTTTGTGATTTTTCGAGACAGGGTTTCTCTGTGTAGCTTTGGAGCCTGTCCTGGCACTCGCTTTGGAAGCCAGACTGGCCTCAAACTCACAGAGATCCGCCTGCCTCTGCCTCCCGAGTGCTGGGATTAAAGGCATGCGCCACTAAAACCTGGTAACTTTTGAATCTTTTATCCAACAACTATTCTTTAAGAAACACTAGTACCAACAATAATAATGACACATAATTATTTACTGTTTATCTAGTAGGCTCTAGGGTATTTCTTAGTAGAAATACCCCAGTGTCCTACACAATTCAAATTTCTTAAAATCATAGCTATGTAGGATTTGTCTTTGTATTCCCTATACATCTCTGGACATTCTTTAGAATTTAACATGGTAGGAAAGACCATCAAATCTTTTGATCCATTGGAGAAATTCCTACCATCTAGAGGGATGCAATGGCATGAATCAGCCTGGGTAGCCAGCCATGCCTAGTCAGTCTAACAGCAAATCCACATGCATACATATGCACTTTCCAACAGGACATGGTACTGGACATATTTATAACCACTGATCTAAGTTTAATTGTGCTCTGTTTTTTAAAAATATCAGAGGAATATTGTGAAGGCCATCTTGGTCACATCCAATGCTATCTACCTCTGTCATTCTCTCTATGCTCTTCTTCCCTGCCATGTGAATGTCTGATCTACCTTGAGTTGCTGCAAAACTCCCTATACCTGAGTATCTCATCCCTTTGCCATGTTTTCTCCTGCCTGCAACATTCTTCAAAACTACCATTTTTTCATTTCACCTTCTCAATTCTCAACCACTCTCTAAGGTTCATTGCAACTTTTCCCTTATGTCAGCCTTCGCTAGTCACAAGACTAAAATCTATCCTTATCATAGTCCTTATCATACCCTGATTAAAGAGCTTGCTAAGTAAACAATTATTTAACACTTATCTTTTAAATAAGACTAAGAGTCTATATGGGTATGATTTGTTTCTGTCCCTTTTGATGTTATATGCCTAGATCCTAGAAATATGTCTTCCATTATAAAATAGAGTAGGTAGGTGAATATGGCATGAGTTAATATTTAAATATATGGCATAGTAAAGAATAAAATAAAAACAAAACTCAAACCTACTCCTTGGAAGAAAGCCAACCTCATCTGCTGAAAGGAATTCAGTACATTTTTTGCCCTTCCATGATTAGCAGACAGTGAGATTTATCAAATATGGCTAGGAACTGCATTGTCTTAAAACAAGCAAAACATCCAGTAAATGTTTCTTGAAATTCTTTTGTTCTCAGTTTTCCCTTCTGACAATCTTGTTTACTCCTCCAGGTCCTTAAAGAAGTCTGCTGCCCTCTGGATGGATGCATACTATGAATGATGCAAAGCTGTGCATTTATTGGTGTCTCTGAAGGGTGTGGTGGCTGTGCAAGAGCTCTTCTCTGATTAACTGATAATTAACTGGCAATGTTGGCATACCTGAGTGTGCCAGGAATGTGAATCCCAAAGACACGTGATAACCTCTCACTGAAGGTCTTCTCTGTAACTGAGAGGAAGAAGACACACAGGGTCTTTGGTCAGAATAACAAAAGGGAAATGGTAGCTTATTACTTCTACTTTTTCACTATAATCTTGGACTTAGTTCCAATAGACCTCAGTGAGATTGTTTCCACAGGGAATATAAGACAATGTGGACAGAAACAGAAGTGAGAAAAGTCAAGATCCCTAACAGAGTCCATTGGAAATAAGTGTAATTGTCCTTAGAAGAGAGTTGTTTATTTAAAACATCCCTGCTGAAGTACCATTTTTTGCTTACTTCCTTTCAAATAGGGGAACTTCTTCAAAAATTGATCAAAAATTAACATTAAAATATCTTCAAATGTTTGTCTTCATTTTGGACTGTCTGTGTTGTGGTTAAAACATGTGTGTGGTTTCTATACATATGCATGTGTTTCCATGTGGGAAAATTAGAATTCCTATAAAGTTTCCTAGAAGAATTATTAAAAGCCAACCCCAATAGCAACTGATGAATATCTGTTAAAGGCACTTCAGTTTGAATAAAGAATACAGTGACCCCTGAGTATGGGATTAGATTTCCTGCCCTCTACCCAGCAAAACAGAAATACTCAAATGTTCTTACTGGATCACTTAGATGAAGGAAAAAACTGCATTTATTATAATGGGAACCATGGGCTATATCTAGTCATCTTTTCAAGTTTAGCAGCAAATTAAACCTACTCTTAGCCATATTCTCTCTCATGAGTCCATTGAACAAGTGATCACTCTTTCTATTCCTTTTTTTCTGTCTTGGTTTCACACTATATTTCATATCCTCATTTTACAGATTTTCTAATTCGTTAGTCATTGTTTGTAGTGATCTCTTAGGATCTTCTGTCTATACGTTACCAAACAATAATGAATGAACATTTTCAGTACCACACTGGTTTCTTTTGTTAAGTTATTTATAAAGGGCACAATAAAACCTGACCTTACTTACAGGGAGAAAACATGTAAGAACAAGGCTTTCTTTCATAGCGCTAAGCAAACCAGTGTTGTTGATTTATCTGTTGTCTGACATCTTCGGTAAGCATTCATTTATTTTCCAAAAGGTCTTAAAATACTCTAGGTTTGCTCTAAAAATACTCTAGGTTTGCTTGCATCCTAATTGTATTCCTTGCATAGGACAGCACATCAATCCTTCACTGTTCCTGAAAATTCACAAACATATATACCAAAGGAAAGAAAGTAAGAACACACTCTCTGCAGAAGAGACACTGAAATGATCATAATGTCCAATAGGAAATTTGAGCAAGAAGATGAGAAGGACGCCAAGCTCTGTTGACTCAGTGATTTTTTCCCCCCTAATGCTAGTAGAGCCAATGGTAATTTCTCCTGCCTGGATTCAGACATGCATGTGGGGTGAAGTTGCAATTTGATGGGTTTCTCTATTTATAACTGGTTCAGCTTCTAGAGGCTATCAAACCATGTTTTTCCTTGGGTCCTTTTGGGGGGGTCCTTAGAAATAGCAAAGAGCTTTTAATGGCCAAACATAATTACCTCAAAGGAATTCCTAGTCAGTATTAAAATCTGGCTCTTTTTGAAATTCTACAAACATTTCATTACTATGAATTTTTGAAGAAATATTAGGAAATTTGGAGAGACTACGTTGGGGGAATGTAAAATTAGTTAAATAAATAAAAAGATCTATCCAGTTAGTCCTAGACTTTCCTTTCTTGGAAGATTTTGGTTACTTATCGTGGACTGTAGGGGTCCACCCACCACCACCACCAGATCCACTTCAGGGTAATGAAGAGAAAGCCTCAGAGTAGTGGGAAAGATTCTTATCCAAGGGTTACCAGACCTTTCTATCTGAGTGGGGGGAATAAACAAGCATAGACTTTCCGCTGGTAACCAAAGAAACAAGGACCAAGGAGGCACTTTCCTGATGGTGACCTTCTCTTTTAATTCATTCTTTATAGTCTCTTTCTTGACAATCTCCCTTTATATATAAGCATTTCTCTCCTGCCCAGTACATATTTTTATATTCAATTACAGTTACAAATCTCCACACAGCCATAGCTATCCATCTCGTTTACATAACCTCTCATCATACAGCACTTCACACAACTCCTAGACACAGCTTCTGTGGGGCAGCATCTCTGTCACACAGCTCTCTCACACTCACAAATACATACTTCTGTATTATTCATTCATTCTCTACTCACTCACTGTCATTCATTCTCTCACACTTCTCTCATTCTACTTCTTCAACTCTCACACTTCTCTCTCCCATAGCAGCCTTCTCTTGCATAGCTCTGCTTTCTGCCTCTCTGTTGTCCTTTCTTTTAGGCTATGAAAGACACAATTCTCTTGCATAGCTCTGCTTTCTGCCTCTCTGTTGTCCTTTCTTTTAGGCTAGGAATGTCACAATTACCAGCCAGTGAGCAAGTGACCTTGCAGGTAGCTCTAAATTGGTGAGGGTTCCCAGACAGAAAATGACATTGGAAATCAAGATTTAGCAATAACAATCAATTAGCTGAACTTTGAGTGGTAGGGGGTACATGCAGACTAAAGTTATTTCCAGCTCTGGCTTTGAATCAGTAAACGACACCTGGGCAAATGATCTTGTGTACTTATTCTAGGGGCAACCAGCCTGCTTTGAATCAGCTCTGAAGTCTAAAGTTAGCTGTCTTTGTGACTGACAATTATTATTTCTGTTCATCAATATTATACAACTTAAGCAGAAAATCATCTTCTGGCCATCCAGGGTTACTATTCTATTCTGATATCTTTACTCCTCATTAATCTTTTACATTTCCTATTCTATATGATTCAGTCTTGCTAATTTGTGTTGTTCTAAGAATTTATGTCAATGTTAGCTTGTCAGTGTGTAATTTTTATAGCGTTTTGCTATGATCCTTTGTGTCTCTATGCATTGCAAAAATAATATTCACCAAGCCATGTGCTATACGGAAATTCATCCGAGTAGTTAGAAAAGGAACCAAGGGAATTATAGAAACAAAGTTGAGGATTGGGGGTGTGGAAAAGATGTGAGAATAAGAAGGAAGATAAATGACAGCTCAGCTGGTAAAATGTGAGATCTTAAAACAAGTCAGACACTGGGATCAAGAGGAAAGACCCACAGAAGACAGAAGATGAAGACTTGAAAAAGTAGCAGGATCAAGGGCCAGGGAGGTTCAGAGGGGAGGAGCTGATTATCTTTATTGCAAGTGCATTGGGAAACCACCAAAAAGTAGGCCTATAATATAACTCTCAAGGTCATCGCATTTAAAGCATCCAGAGCCAGGACAGTAAGAAACTTTCACTTTTTTACAAACATGTCTGATTCTTGTGGTATGAAGGGTTAGAAGTATAGTTACCAACAAAATCAGTCTCCTAAATTCCCATTTTGAGATCATTGATACAGGAGGTACAGAAACAACAGATGTATGCTCTTGGCCTCTAGGGAACAATTCAACAAGAAAAAGAAATACAAGCACAAACATCAAACATCATACAGTGAAAATTAAAATTATTTGGGATTGTGAATTCAGAAAGATGATAATTTTATTGATTAGCAACATACTAAACAAAACTAAATTTACCCCATAGCTAGAGTACCATTAATATTTTATGATGCAAGGTTTTTATGAATTAAAAATATATTGAAGTAATTCCTTCAAATCTTATTTCATGTTGAAATAAGCTTTACTGAGTATTTAAGAAGCATTTCTAGGGTCAGTAAGATGGCTCAGTAGGTGAAGGTACTCACCACTAAGATTGAAAACCAGAATTCAATCCTTGAGTTTCACATGGACAAGAGAACTTCAGCAAGCTGTTCTGTAATTGCCACCCATTGCTAGAACACATGTGTGCACGGGCACACAAGCAATGAACTAATAAATGTTTAAAAATTAAAATCATGTTGTATGCTTTATATTCTCATTTCATTTAGTGTGTTATCTTTGGGTTAATTCATACTATTATTTATTGCACAGTTCTCTACTCTCCTGAAGCTAGATAACATTCAGTTGTACACACATTCCACATTTTTTACCCATTCATCTACTGATAAACAGTTAGGTTCTTTCTACATCTTAATTATAATGAAAATTTCTGCAATGAAGATGACAAACTAACATCTTTTTGGCATCCTAATTCCAATTATTTTAGACACAAGGAAAACTGCACAAAATTCTTACTAATGGTTCAAGGCATTGGGTAATGAGCTATAATTTTAATGGACACTGTTCCATTTAATAACCACAGCTCTATATGCCAGATGTTATAGTTCATTTCATTGTAAAAATGAAAAATGTGAAGGTTAAAGACAATGAGCATTTTTCATGAATTCACAAATTATTGGATGAGATTTTCAGATCTAGGAATTATGAGTTTATCATCAATGTTCATTAATTCTCATGACAAGAAACCCAAGTGAAAGGGAACTGAGTGAGGCAGCCAAAGATGTGAGCATCTTTAAAATATTTCTGAAAGCTTCCTGAAAGCTGGTAGAATGCACAGAATGCCACTAAGCCCTCTACATCAGTGTGCTTCATAAGGATGGGCACCTACACAGGAGATATGAAAGGAGCAAGAAATAGATACCAATAACAACACAGGAAAGGTCCTTCTTGGCTGAATTCCACTCATCAACCTTTAAAGATCAGGGTAATTTCCCATGGAGAAACTCAAGCTAGGTCTTAACCTTTCTTTCAGAAAGATAGTTCCTGCATTAAATATAGAATAACAGGGTAGAGATGTCAGCAGACTCTGGGTTGCTTGGTCCTCAGGGGCCGAGTGAACCTGCCTGCAGACCCATGGACAGGAGTTCCGAGAGAGGGGAGGCCCAAGTTGCGCCCAAGTTAGGGGCCAAAGCAG